TATCTGGAAATTTTATGGCGTTTAATGGACCCTCTAATTTTTGTGGCTTGAGTCATTGTTGATGTACTCGTTTAAATCTGGAAGCATTAACCACTTATATTGTAATATATATTGTAATTGTTTAATATAGAAAATAAATATAGAGATTGCATTTTTGCCATATCGCCCATCCCTACATGGAAGTAAGCGATCAGCTGATAAGCATCATAGCACCCCATAGCGTTTGTTTTTGATGAAATGCAGCCGTACGTTTCTCTGGCTACATAATTTGCGATCTCCAGAAATGTAAACAATTCTATGTTTTCAGAATGAGCCTGCATGTTTTGGCAAATTTGCTACAACCCTACATAGACTTAAAGTAAAATAAAGCTGCACTAACTAACTTTTTTGTAGCTGGTCCTTTCTTTTGTGACACAATGAGTCAATTTATCATGCTCTGTGATCTTTGTAGACCTTTTACATTCACAAACAACTACAATACACTGCATGAAAGGCAATAGCTAAAAAAGAATAAAAGGAGCACTCAGACTGTTGCAATCAGGTCTAACTATCTTGATTCTTTTTAGAGCAAATGCCTCCTTTCTATCTAAATTCAGCACCAATTTTGTGGACACTAGTGAATTGGACGCTAAAACAACACAGACAGTGTTCGGAAATAAATGGTGCTGTCAGTGCACGCAATTCAATCTTAGTGAATTCTCCCCTCTGTGCCTCTATCTTTTTACATTCCGACATAGAGACGATAGCATCTTCATATTGAGGGTGTTTGTCATGGTTGTGGGTTCGAGTCGTGGCGACACTACATTGCTCATTGCTTAGATTAGCTGTGTAATTGTTCTAGTAGACAGCAAGCAATTTGTATGGTGACTCATGCTCCCTTTCTCTCTTTTCTCTCATCCTCTCAATCGCTGCACATCCTCAAGCTGCGTTTAAAGCACGTTATGATAGTTACAGTCTTGACAGGCTCATTAAAGACCATCATATTCTCCAAAAAAAAAACTTTTAAAGGAATATTCTGTGCTAAAAATGAAAAATAAATAGTTTTTTTTTTATCATTTGCTCACTCCCATGTTGTTTCAAACCATTCTTCCGGTGAACACAAAAGGACTGTTCTGTTCTCAAGACTGCATTTGCCATGCAATTACAATGAATGGGGACTGAAGGTCACACGCTTGAAAGAAAGTACAATAAAGTGGTCTATAAGACTTGTGTGCTGTATTACAACTGAAGTCATTTGATAGCTTTGTGAAGAGGAAACAGACTGAAATGAGCGTTGTTATTCACTTCACCCTATAAACCACTGCAACCGGTCATAAGCTTTATTCAGATGGTAAGAGTTTATCAAGTAGATGTAAGGTATTTATAGGGGCTAATCAGTGAACCAAATCCTGAAGAGGTGCTTTTTTCTCTCTCTTCCTCCATCTGCATAAAAATTCCCAGTTGAATTACAGACTGTTTTGACAAATAAGTTTGTGTGCTAATTTATTTGCTGCTCATATCTCCCAGGGATTGCATGAACTTATAAAATGTATATCTTCAGTGTAATGTAAATGGCTAAGGATGGAAGTGTCTGCCAGATGCATAAATGTAAATATAAATGCCCTAGCTTTTTTTTTTTTTTTACCTGCTGCACTCATTTTAATAATGTGAACGCACTTTTAATTCTGAAATGATTTGACTTGTAAAATAGATTACATTCACTACTTTTTTGCTTATTTCCATACTTTTAAGTTGACATCAATCATTTGGAGAGGCAAAATGCAAGATAGAAAGCCATTTAAACCATAGCACATCAATTTTCCTATTATACTCTTAAAATAAAGGTCCTTTATTGCCCTTGAAGGGTGCATGAAGAGGCTTTAGCATCCATGGAAGCTTTAATTTATAAAGAAAAATCCTTTAAAGTGGAAAATGTTAGATAATTAAAATCTCTTCTCATTAAAATATGGTTCTTTTTTTTAAGAAATCTTCTCTGAGAAGGTTCTTTGTGGAGTACAAAATGGTTCTTCTGTGGCATTCTTGTGTTTTGGAATCTTTATTTTTAAGTATGTAAATAATTAATGGGATAATTAAATTAAAGTTGAAAATGTGTTTGGATGCAAAAACAAATGTCTGTAGGATCATAAATCTCACTCCTTAATTAAAAATTGGTCAAAGTTGAATTGTTGAGAGAGAAAAAAACAGCTAATTTCATCAATTTAAAAGGTATATTTACTGTTGGTTGCCACAGTGGAATGAACTGCCATTTACTGGCATATGTTTTATATGTGATTGCTCTTCCAGCCTTAAAAGTAGCAGCCTTCACAACAAACTATTTAAAATTAGGTTCACAGATTCTTTTAATGTAAGTATAAAACAAATGCTAATTATTGTAAAATTAATTAATAGCTATCTTTATTATTATAAACATCAAGTCTAAACTAATTTGTTTTAAGTGGAGCTGAAACCAGCAGCATGTGTGTTTTCATACTGGATCAACATGACAACCATATTATCAAAACAATCACTTTTCAATGTCTTCAAAAAAAATTTTTGACATTTGATTTATTCATCAAATCCATCATCCAGTGATTCTGGATCTGCATATAGTGTTTGCTCTTTAGTAAATCTGTTCAAGCCCTTTGAAGTGATTTACTTTTTTTATTCTTTTTTTATGCCTGGTAATGCTGAGAAACAATAGATCATCATTGTGTAATAAACATTGCCACCTTATGAAATGGGTAGAGCAGCAAAATAGTCCTTAAACTTATACATACCCCGGGTTACTTGTGACCCTATAGGAATACTAGAAATGCTATGACCTTTAACTTTTAAAAATGAATGAGGTGGAGGGTAACGAATTACATCGGGTTGCTAAAGACTCGAGGTAGTTTGTGTGAAATAAAAATGACAACATATGTTTTGCTAGCGGTGAACAAATAATCTGTGAGATTAAGCCACTGAAAAAAAAATGTTTGTAATCTTTAATCAAAGCCCATTTGCGAGTGGCAGTCCTTCTGTTAACGTCAGTTTGATGACTTCAGACAGAATATGCTTAACTACGCCCCTCGTACCACTATTTTGCTATTAGGGGAATGATGCACAGCCCCTGCACAACATTCAGTTACACTTGAAATACATTAACATGTTACAATTTCCTTAGCAACTTCCAGTTCACACTGACTTTGTGTCTTTAATTGCGTTATATAATCCACTTTGAAATATCGCATCATGCACTAAAAAAAATGATGTCTGCAAAATTGTTGCAAGCAATTTAAATGTTGAATTTAGTAGTTGGTTTTTGTAAATTTTTGTAAATCCAAGGAATCATCTTTGAATATTTTTAGTGTGTATTAGATGAATGATAAAAAAATACTACTGATATTTAGGGCCAGACTGAATTTGCGGACATTTTTTGCAATTTCTGCTGAGAAATTTTGAATTAGAATTTTGTAAAAAAAAAAAAAAAAAATCAACGGATTTATGCAGAATTATAATATGAATGTTGTAACCATAAACTTAATTTATGAAAAAAAATAAATAGATTTTAATATTTTTTTAATATAAACGAATCTGCCGACATGAATCTGCGGACATTTTTTTTTTGCAATTTATGCAGAGAATTTTGTAAAAAAATCTGCGGATTTATGTGGAATTATTTTGGAAGTATCATAACTAAAAACTATCTATGAAATAAAAAATAATAGCTTTTTAACTTTGGTTTAATATTTACAATGCAAATCCATCTATATCTACTTATTTGTTAAACAAAGCAAGTCTCTCATGTACTATCTCTACAAAAAGACAGTACATATTACTTTACAAACTGTATTGTAAATAAATCAAATGAACACTTTCATGTTAGTAAGTAATATTACTAAAATTAATTTAAAAATGTAATAAATATAAGTTTACACACATTTACACAAGTAAATAAATACTCAATGATGGACCAAAAATCTGTGGAAATCTGCAGATTTCTGTGCGCGCAGATTCCGGTGTGGGCATTCAAGAAATTACAGTATCACTTAACAACAAATCTAAAAAGTGTTCACATCACTTTATTAAACCACATTCTTATTCACTACTGTATATAGTACTTCTCGTCGAATTATATATGATCTAGCAAAGGCCTACTGGTTTTCTCATACTGCGATTGATGTTTTTAGCCATACCTTCTAGGTCTTCCAGGAAACTAATGTGTGCGTTTCCCTCTATAACTTTAACAGAGAAATGTGCAGCATGGGTCAGCAGCGAGATGTGTATATTCCGGAAGCGTAATTCATTAATTTGCTGTTTGCTATCCGTCAGTCACCCGGAATAATCCATCGGGAGGGGCCAGTGCGCTTTCCTCTGCCGAGTGAAAATTGGATTTTGGATGAGCGATCGCGCGGCTTAAACTTCCACCAGCCCGCTGTCTATTAAGTGCACCCCCACGTCACACACACACACACACATACACTGTCGCAGCCCAGAACCAATCTAGAGCCTCGACAAACACACACAAATATACATCCTCGAGTTTTAAGAGTTACATAAAGCCGAATGCAAGCACACACGTATGCAGTCACGGTGTGTGTGTGGTATTACCAGCTCAAATCCTGTGCTTGACAAAAGCCAAGTGAACAAACACAGTCAGCGTAATCACCAAGGAGAGAGACACGTACACACCTCTGACTCGAAGGAAATGAGCTGGAATTTAGAGCATCGTGCCCACATGGGGAGAGGAAGATCTGGAGAGAGAGAGAGAGAGAGAGAGAGAAAAGGAAAGAAAGAGAGAGAAAGAGACGGATTGAAGGATGGGGAAAAAAGAAAAGTCAAGAAGAATAGAAACGAGAGCACTGGGGAGACCAAGACAATTCTCGCTGAGATGTTGATGGCGAGATGCTGGAGTTTACTCATCCAATCACGAACGTGTGGGCAGAGAGAGGGAGAGAGTGTGTGCTTCATCAGAAGTGCTTGATGTCACTTAGTAAAAATAACGCTCTGTGTGTGTATGTGTGTGTGTGTGTTTGTTTCAGCTCCTCTGACTGAAGAGCCCCCCAGGATTCTGTTTCCCTCTGAAAACAAGCTCCTCGCCATGGACGTGCAGCTCGGTAAGCACAGCTTCCGCTTGTGGATGTGTGTGTTTGTGGTGAGGAGGGGTGTTCGCCGTGGCATGTACTATTTTTTGAAAGAACGCAGGATATGATGTGTTTGCTGTGCAGAGTATGCAAATTTCCTGAATGCATGGATTACCCAGATAACCTACTGCATTTGTTAAAATGCACAATATATAGCCAGTGCACACTGCGTGGAATATTGCATCCCATGATGCACTGCACTCGACTTGACCTTCTGTTTTCCAGGGTGACAAAAATACTGGAGGTGATATCAATCATGTTTTTATTCCACGCCATTTGAATGGCTGATTCAATTTTTACAATGGGTCTGCCAAAGTGAAAATGATTATGTATTTGATTCTGAAAAGCGCTGGAAAGCTCTGTGAATTAAACATTCAGGCTAATTCAAAGTGTTGTGGCATTTAAGCTGAAGTGTTCCTGAATGAAATCCCGAGTCTGTCACATCATTGGCTTCTCAAAATAACCAGGTGCCGAGGGCATGTTGAAGGGGTACCAGTGACGCATGCTGCTTCTGCCATGTGATATACACTGTATCAGTATCCTTCAGTATTTTATCGTTATTTTTAAAAAGAAGTCTCTTACGCTTTTAAAATTAAAAGTGATGCCATTATGCCTCTGATGACAAATTACTGATGACAAACAGCCTTTTGTGTAATGGACATTTTCTATAGAGATTTAAGATTCCTTTTAGAAAATTTGATGGAAATATTTTTTTTTTTTCAAATAGATGTTTTATTTATTCTTGTAATAGCACAGCTGAATTTGTTGAAATCATTATTTTTATGCTTGAGTGTAAAAAAAAAAAAAAAAATATATATATATATATATATATATATATATATATATATATATATATATATATATATATATATATATATATATATATATATTTACATATTTTTAATAAATAATATAAAACATACTTAGTTACTACCAGGGTCGTTTATATTAAAGTTGATATTTAGCCACACCATGTGGTGTTTTTATTTATATATATATATATATATATATATATATATATATATATATATATATATATATATATATATATATATATATATATATATATATATATATATATATATATGTAGTTTATTTATATTAAACCATTTTAAAATTATTTCTCAGTTGTACTACTTAATGTGTTTGTGTTAAGCATTTGACATTTTTTGGAAACTTTAAAAACACATTCTTAATTGTATAACATTACGGGCCCTATCATACTCCCAGCGCTATAAGGCACAAGATGTGTTTGTTGTAAATTTCAGACCAACGCAACCTTAATTTTCATGTTTTGTGCCACTCATGGGTGTACTGTTTGTGGACTCATGGGTGTGCTAGTCCCCATTGACCAGGGAAAAGCTGGTCTAAAGTCCAGCACAGTTAGTTATGCCCCTATGCAGGTCCAAAACGCGTACACATTACATAATTGACACAGGATGTTCAGCAATACACAAATATCTTTACATATGAAAAAAATTAAAGGATGAAAATGTTACAAAAATAATTCTACATAAATTTAAAAACACTGCCTTCATATCCAGGGTGCTTTTTCAATTTATTCATGACAATTAGCATTTTTATTATAATTTTATTATTAGTAGTATTATTATTTATATGCATATTTATATTTGTTTTTAAAAAAACAAGTTTAGATTTGTCCACCTGTCAGGATTTGAAGACGTTTATGCATCACCATATGGGCCATAAGAATATGACGTGTTTTTGGAAATAACTCGCTAATTTTTTGACCACTTTTTGTTATAATTGTTCATTTATTCATTTGCTGGAAATTAGAACTGAATTTAGAAATAGTTTTGAAACAAATCTTTGTGCTTAAACAGAATTAAATATGTAGGCTAATGGATGTCTTCAGTGGAGTGAGTTTCCACCGTGTTCTTATCCACTAAAGTAAAGGAGTAAAGTAAAGAGTAAAAGTAAAATAAAGACAAAGAGGCCGAATGGAGGAGGCTCGTTCTTTATACTCGTGTTGCAGATGGTCTGTTTAACTGTTTTCTCACCAGTAAAGCATTCAGTTTTTCTTCTTACAAAGTCCACCATGTAAATAGCAAATGCTTTATGGCACAACACAACTGACTCCTAAAGGTAATGAGAGATGAGATTGATTGATTTAATATATGTTATGTTCAAAACACACTCATAACTCATTAATAGAATAAGCAGAGCGTATTTTTCCATCCTTAAAAAAGCAAATGTGGATTCAAACATGCCCTTAATGCTTTTGCGCCATGAACTTTAGACTTTGTGCTAAATTGTTAAAATAGAGCCCAATGTCTTTTTAATATAACTTTTGCTCAATTTAATGTATTCTTGCTGGAAAAACAGGAATAATTCATTTTAAAAAGAATCCCAAATTTTGAACAACAGCATTGTAGTTAATGCATAATTTGATGTGGCGTTTTTACTTAAGTCAGTGCTGTTTTATGCAATTAAAGCTCGCATCAGATAGCGCTGACAGTAAGGTTTAGTTTGGCATATTATCGCTTCCGGAAACCTGCCAGTAAATGGAGTACTACTTTAGAGAGATGTTTATGAACATTTTCTATTGATCATGGCAGGAGTTAATTCATCAAATAATGATGAAATTATGCAGAAGAGTGTTAAAACCGGGCATATATCCAGGTGTTTGGTGCAGTCGAATGCACTTTTGGCATTTTGAAGAGCCAATTGCTTCCACACTCCCAAAATACTATTCCCAATTGTGGTGCACTGCTGCACCCTGCACTCCTTTCCAGCGGAAATTTGATTTGTTACTGATTCAAGTTTTAGGCCAATAGCATAAAGTGCATATAAACAGTGGACAGGATTTACTTAAATTCTTTCTCTCAACACCTTGTGCTGTTTTTTTTTTCTCAAATTCTGTATGGTATGCTAGTGGAGATATTCACAAATACAATATATTGTGATTAGGAACATGCATTATATTTGGAGAGCACTTAGATTTGTAATAGAATTTTCTGATTGTTGTATTCATCAAGACCTAATATGCTATTTATTTCAAACATAAACATTTTTGTATGTTAAACTAGCCAACAGCATGCCTGAGATATTATCCAAAGCTGTTTTTGTTTCTCTGGATTGTTTGTAAACACATTAGTTATTTAAGCTAAACTGACTACTACACTGTAAAACCCAAAAAGTTAAGATAACTTAAACCATTTGAGGAAAACGATTGCAACAAACCATTGAAGTTCAAAACCTAATCCTAATGAGTACTGTGAACTTTAAGTAAATGAAGCAATTTGAGCACAGTAAAACCCAATAAATGAAGAAGACTCAAACCAACTGAGTACTGTAAAATCCAATAAGTTAAGGTAAGTCAAACCATTTGAGGAAACCAATTGCTACAAACCATTCGAGTTAAAAACGAATCTATATCAATACTGTGAACTTACTCCATTTAAGTTGAAGTAAGGAGGGATTTAATTAACTCATTACCTTCAACACTGAGTTCAAAACACTTTTCAAGTGAGTAGAATTGTCTTTCAGTCAATTTTGAGTTAACTACACTCATTTCATTTGATAAAGTGGACTGTTGGGTTTTACAGTGTAGAAAAGCATGTATTAATCTTGAGTGATGTTAATTTCTTGGTTAATATTTTATAACTTGTTAAAATCAAAAGCCATAACTGTTCTATTTAATGAAGCTAGTAACTAATGACGTTCAGTTTAATATTTTAAACTAATAAAAATGTAACAAATGTTGCTATCTCTCCCTTTTTTGCTTGGTTAATGCATTATAATGCTCATTAACAAGGCCTTATTGTAAGGTGTACTTTATAAATATTAGTTTTTTCTATGATTAGTCATTATTAATAACCATTTTTTATGTCAGTAATGTAATGATAAAGTGAAAGCGTCAGCAATTATTACAACAAGAACATTTGAAACCTACTGTATATGCCTACTGTATAGTCAGTATGTTGCGCAGTGTGTTTAATCAATTCTGAACTCAGCCAGTGTTGTTTATGTCTTTGTGCTGCATCCAAGCAATTGTGTAAGTAAAAGGAGAGACATTGTAATGGATTTACTAACAAAAAACACAAGCAAAAGTGCTTCAGCAAATGTAAGATCTGTTTCTGTTATTGAGAAGACGTCCAACTGTTACCAAAAGAGACTCATCGAGAATGTTTAAACTCATGCCACGCGCAGTTATGCGCTAACTCAGCAGCAGCATTTCAGTATGTGTGTGTGTTAACGCCTGAGAAAGGAGTTCCCTTGTTAGACAGATAGCTGCTATAGTCAGCATTATGATGTTATGTTGTTTACGAGCTGAATGGAAGTCTTTCTCATAAATGCAAATCCTCTATGCTAATTATCTGCTGTTGTCTCCCAACAATAGCTGCTCCATATGGTGCCGAAACATCAGTGGGCCTTCGTTTGGATTCCACTGTGTGTGTGTATGTGTGCGTGCGTGTTCATCCGAGTTTCTTGCACATGTTAATACATGCATACCGTCCGATTTAATATATGTAACGCAGAGAGATGTGCTTGCTCGCGCATGTGCATTCATCTGTTAGGGTGTGCATTGAAGTGAACCGTGTGTGTGTGTGTGTGTGTGGTGGATGGAGCTGCGTCTGTTTGTTTGGCGGAGGCTCTGGATCCAAGCATGTTGGAAACAGGAGCAGATTGGAGCATATTGTGGCGGCTCTGACCATGTTTTGCCTTCAGAATGAGCAGAGAGAGAGCAAGACACCACTTGTCGACTGGAGACGCACACACATACATACTCAAGCACACGCACGCACACACTGACCACATGATGAGCAATTTACAGACTTAGACGGTGTGTGCGTTTTGGACAGCTTAGCTGAGTGAGTATAATAGAAGCCAGTGGAGTCGAACTTTGTCATGTTGTCAGGGTTAATTTGCAGCATCATGAGAATTTAAATGGAATTACAGTGGAGAAAAAGTCATATTAAATCTTTGGCCAGAAAAAAAGACGTTGATTT